CAGTAGAAGCACTCAGTTTCAGGCTTAGGTCTACCTTTGGGCTTCTTCATGAGAGCGGCAACTTGCTTGCCGTTCTTATTGAAGTCCCTTTCTTTACTTTGCCTTTTTTTTCTTAAAACCGGTGGTCTTGTTAACCATCAACACTTGATGCTCTTTCTTGATTTCTACCTCCGCCGTTTCAGCATCGCGAAGAGCTTGGGAATCGTTTTCGTCATCCCTTGCATATTTATAGTTCATCACGAAGATCTAGTAGTTGGTGATAGTGACTAGAGAAATATGTCAATCACTATATTATCTAGAAGTTTAACTCCCACTTGATTCAAGAGATTGTAGTATCCAGACATTCTGAGCACATGCTCACTGGCTGATCCATTCTCCTCCATCTTGTAGGCAAAGTACTTGTCAGGGGTCTCATACCTCTCAACACGGGCATGGGCCTGAAATACCAATTTCAGCTCTTGGAATATCTCATATGTTCCATGGCTTTCAAAACGTCTTTGGAGCCTCGATTCTAAGCCGTAAAGCATGGCGCACTAAACTATCAAGTAGTCATTAGATCGAGCTTGTCAAACGTTCGTGATGTCTGCATCAACTCTTGCAGCAGGTCTGTCACCTAGCGGTGCATCAAGGACATAATTTTTCTGTGCAGCAATGAGGATAATCCTCGGATCACGGACCTAGTCCGTATTATCGCTACCATCATCTTTCAACTTAGTTTTCTCTAGGAACGTATCAAAAATTGGGGAAGATATATCGCGAGCTATTGATCTACAACATAATTTGAAAAGATATTTTGACTATGTTCATGATAAATCTTAGTTCAAATAATGAAATTACTAATAAACTCCCGCTTAAATCAACATCCCTCAAGTTGTCTAGGTGATACATGATCCAAATCAATTAAACCATGTCCGATCATCACGTGAGATGGAGTAGTCTTCAATGGTGAACATCTTTATGTTGATCATATCTACTATATGACTCCAGTGTTCTGAGACCATGTTTGTACATGCTAAGCTCGTCAAGTTTAACCCAAGTATTTTGCGTGTGTAAAACTGGCCTACACCGTTGTATGTGAATGTAGAGTCTATCACACCCGATCATCACCAGGTGCTTCAAAACGACGAACTTTAGCAATGCTGCATACTTGGGAGAACACTTTTATCTTGAAATTTAGTGAAGGGTCATTTATAATGCTACCGTTTCTAAGAAAAATAAGATGCATAAAGGATAAACATCACATGCAATCAAAATATGTGACATGATATGGCCATCATCATCTTGTGCTTTTGATCTCCATCTCCAAAGCATCGTCATGATCTCCATCGTTACTAGCTCGACACCTTAATCTCCATCGTTGCATCGGGGTCTTCTCGCCAACTATTGCTTCTACATCTATTGCTAACGCATAGCGATAAAGTAAAGTAATTACATGGTGATTGCATTTCATACAATAATTAAGAGACAACCCTAAGGCTCCTGCCGATTGTCGATATTACAAAACATGATCATCTCATACAACAACGTATATCACATCTCATCTTGACCATATCACATCACAACATGCCCTGCAAAAACAAGTTAGACGTCCTCTACTTTGTTGTTGCAAGTTTTTACGTGGCTGCTATGGGTTTCTAGCAAGAACCGGTCTTACCTACGGCAAAAACAACAATAATGATTTATCAAGTTTGTTGTTTTTAACCTTCTTCAAGGATCGGTCGTAGTCTAATTCGATTCAACTAAAGGAGGAGAAACAGATACCCGCCAGCCACCTTTATGCAAAACAAGTTGCATGTCAGTCGGTGGAACCGGTCTCATGTGCGTGGACATGTAAGGTTGGTCCGGGCCGCTTCATCCCACAATACCGCCGAATCAAAATAAGACGTTGGTGGTAAGCAGTATGACCATCACCGCCCACAACTCCTTTGTGTTCTACTCGTGCATATCATCTACGCATAGACTTGGCTCGGATACCACTGTTGGGAAACATTGCATGGAAAACAAAACAAAATTCTACGCACACGCAATATCTATGCATGGAGATGCATAGCAACGAGAGGGAAAAGTGTGTCTACGTACCCTCGTAGACCGTAAGCGGAAGCGTTTATTAACGCGGTTGATGTAGTCAAACTTCTTCGCGATCCAACCGATCAAGTACCGAACGTACGACACCTCCGCATTCAGCACACGTTCAGCTCGGTGACGTCCTCGCCTTCTTGATCCAGTAAGACGGGCGAAGTAGTGGATGAGTTCCGGCAGCACGACGACGGGTGACAGTGGTGGTGATGCTATCTCCGCAGGGCTTCACCTAAGCACTATGAAAATATGACCGAGGGACGGAACTGTGGAGAGGAGCGCCGCACACAGCTAAGAGATTGTCGTAGTCATTGTGTGGCGCCCTCTCGCACATATATATAGGTGGGAGGGAGAGGGGAGGCAGCCAGGAGGCGCCCCAAGGGTGGCCAAATCCCCCTTGGGCTCC